TGATGTATATTGATGTATATGGATGTATATTGATGTATATTGATGTATATTGATGTATATTGATGATGTATATTGATGTATACTGGTGTATATGGATGTATATTGATGTATATTGATGATTTATTGATGTATATTGATGTATATTGATGTATACTGATGTATATGGATGTATATTGATGTATACTGATGTATATGGATGTATATTGATGTATACTGATGTATATGGATGTATATGGATGTATACTGATGTATATGGATGTATATTGATGTATATTGATGTATACTGATGTATATTGATGTATATTGATGTATATTTATACGGATGTATATTGATGTATATTGATGTATATTGATGTATATGGATGTATATTGATGTATATGGATGTACAAGGACGTATATTGATGTATATTGATGTATACTGATGTATATTGATGTATATGGATGTATATTGATGTATATGGATGTATACTGATGTATATTGATTTATATTGATGTATATGGATGTATACTGATGTATACTGATGTATATGGATGTATATTGATGTATATGGATGTATACTGATGTATATTGATGTATATTGATGTATATGGATGTATATTGATGTAAATGGATGTATACTGATGTATATTGATGTATACTGATGTATACTGATGTATATGGATGTATATTGATGTATATTGATGTATACTGATGTATATTGATGTATATTGATGTATATTGATGTATATTGATGTATACTGATGTATACTGATGTATACTGATGTATATGGATGTATATGGATGTATATGGATGTATACTGATGTAAAATGATGTATATTGATGTATATTGATGTATACTGATGTATATGGATGTATACTGATGTATATTGATGTATACTGATGTATACTGATGTATACGGATGTATATTGATGTATATTGATGTATACTGATGTATATTGATGTATATTGATGTGTACTGATGTATATTGATGTATACTGATGTATACTGATGTATACTGATGTATATGGATGTATATGGATGTATATGGATGTATACTGATGTATATTGATGTATATTGATGTATAAGGATGTATACTGATGTATACTGATGTATATTGATGTATACTGATGTATATGGATGTAAATGGATGTAAATTGATGTATACTGATGTATATTGATGTATATTGATGTATACTGATGTATATTGATGTATACTGATGTATATTGATGTATAAGGATGTATACTGATGTATACTGATGTATATTGATGTATACTGATGTATATTGATGTATATTGATGTAAATTGATGTATACTGATGTATATTGATGTATATTGATGTATAAGGATGTATACTGATGTATATTGATGTATACTGATGTATATGGATGTATATGGATGTATATTGATGTATATTGATGTATATGGATGTATATTGATGTATATTGATGTATATTGATGTAAAAGGATGTATACTGATGTAAATTGATGTATACTGATGTATATTGATGTATATGGATGTATATTGATGTATATTGATGTATAAGGATGTATATTGATGTATACTGATGTATAAGGATGTATATTGATGTATACTGATGTATATTGATGTATATTGATGTATATTGATGTATACTGATGTATACTGATGTATATTGATGTATACTGATGTATATGGATGTATATGGATGTATATTGATGTATATTGATGTATATGGATGTATATTGATGTATATGGATGTATATTGATGTATACTGATGTATATTGATGTAAATTGATGTATACTGATGTATATTGATGTATATGGATGTATATTGATGATTTATTGATGTATATTGATGTATATTGATGTATATTGATGTATATTGATGTATATTGATGATTTATTGATGATTTATTGATGTATATTGATGATTTATTGATGATTTATTGATGATTTATTGATGTATATTGATGTATATTGATGTATATTGATGTATATTGATGTATATTGATGATTTATTGATGATTTATTGATGTATATTGATGATTTATTGATGATTTATTGATGATTTATTGATGATTTATTGATGTATATTGATGTATATTGATGTATAAGGATGTATATTGATGTATACTGATGTATATTGATGTATATTGATGTATACTGATGTATACTGATGTATATTGATGTATATTGATGTATAAGGATGGATATTGATGTATACTGATGTATAAGGATGTATATTGATGTATATTGATGTATACTGATGTATAAGGATGTATATTGATGTAAATTGTTGTATACTGATGTATATTGATGTATATGGATGTATATTGATGTATATTGATGTATAAGGATGTATATTGATGTATACTGATGTATATTGATGTATATTGATGTATATTGATGTATACTGATTATATTGATGTATACTGGTGTATACTGATGTATATTGATGTATATTGAAATATACTGATGTATATTGATGTATACTGATGTATATTGATGTATAAGGATGTATACTGATGTATACTGATGTATATTGATGTATACTGATGTATATTGATGTATATTGATGTATATTGATGTATATTGATGTATACTGATGTATATTGATGTATATTGATGTATATTGATGTATATTGATGTATATTGATGTATATTGATGTATACTGATGTATATTGATGTATATTGATGTATATGGATGTATATGGATGTATATGGATGTATATTGATGTATATTGATGTATAAGGATGTATATTGATGTATACTGATGTATAAGGATGTATATTGATGTATACTGATGTATATTGATGTATATTGATGTAAATTGATGTAAATTGATGTATACTGATGTATATTGATGTATATTGATGTATATTGATGTATAAGGATGTATATTGATGTATACTGATGTATATTGATGTATATTGATGTATACTGATGTATACTGATGTATATTGATGTATATTGATGCATATTGAATATTGATGTAATGTATATTTGACATATGCAAATAATGGTAGATGAGCATCCAGTCGGTGCGTCGGTGTGCGAGTCCCAGTGAGTGTTATGTCAATAGGTGAAATTTGGGGATGATTAATGATTGTTTTACCATGTTTTACCCAATGATTATACCCCCAAAATGAGTCAATGTGATAATCCCATAAAATTTTCACAATGATTTACCATGGTATTTTACCAACATGAGATTATTTTCACATACCCCCAAAATTGGGGCATTATGGCATTACCCCTATGAATCAACCAATATTGGGGAATAATAACCATATATAATCTATATTTATCTATATTTGCTGTGTTTATGCCCTTGAAACCCTGAGTGTGTTCATTTTCTTGGTGGACTGCAAAGTTCTGCTCACATCACTTGTGGAATTCCTCTTGAAATTGGCTAGGCCAAAACCATCTAATTGGCTGGTCACAACACGTCGGTGACAGGGTTCCAGCTGTATGTCAGAATACAGATTCGCTCTATTTTCCAGATTAGGCCACTTGATTTTGGGTGAATGATTCTAGCCCTTGAGACAAACGGCAGAAGCTTGTGACTGCTCATGCAGATGACATGAACGGCAGGTCATTGAACTGCACATCTCTGGCTTGCCCCATGATGCTGATGATGTGCGCCCCCCTGTTCATGCGCTGTTCCAGGGAGCTAATGTGGCTGGATTGGGCGTCAAAAATCCAAGACTCCAAATAGTTGGTGTTTGGCAATTGTGGAAAAAACATATATTTATATGCTCTGTTCTTTGAATGTGCGCAATTGCAGATCATCGAATTCATTGTCACTTGTTCACCCACCAAGTGACCTCTGTGAGACTGTGGTCCAAGACAAAACATTCCTGTTTCTCAAATGAGACTTTGACCAGACTCTGCATGTTTGGTGATGACCCAAGTCCTTGGTTTGGATTGAATACTCAAGGGCTCCCTTCGAAAGATGTGGGGTATCTGATATTTGCTAAAAGCTTGTTTGCTTCTCAAGTCTTGCAGATTTTTGCAGCTTCTTCTTTCGGCACTGCAGTGGGAACCAGACCAGAAGCACCCATATAGCCAACAATTCACAATCTAAAAGGGTCGCAGGTTTGCTTGCCAACCCTAGTAGCACATCGCAAGCACGTCTTAAAGAAAGTACAACAAGAAAACCCTAAAGGTGTAAAAATAAATATATATATATATACATATTAGCCCATCTTACAGTGAATTGGAGTACAGGAAGGCTTTTTTCATGATCAACCCAATGGGGGGATGTCAGGATCAGCAACAGGAGGCCCTCTATGCCTTGCCAATGGATGCCGGGATCATGGACGAAAATAGAGATGTTGCACCCGTTTCCAAACAGTTCTTTCGCCAGAGTTTGCACTCTTGAACAACTTGCCCGCGGGCGCGCGCCATGGCAACAGAAGAGTGCGGATTGTCAGTGCGGCTGGGGTGGTCATTCACATCGATGTCGAAAGAATCCGGTACCATTTATTCCAAAACAAAAACATATGAGGGTTTCCATAAATGCGAGTATCCATTTTTTTTTGTTTATAATGGAAAATCGTATAAAAATGGATACCCTCTGGTAATTTAACATAGCTATTGAAAATAGTCAGTTATAGTGGATTTATCCATTAAAAATGGTGATTTTCCATAGTTACGTTAGTTTACCAGAGGGTAATTTGGGGGTACTCCTATTTTGCCTATTTTAGGAAACCTCCATATAGAGAAGTTCTCCAGGATTTTCAGCGCACAGACCATGATTTTCAGCGGCACAGGGGTGGCACAGCGCCGCCGCCGAGCCCTCGAGAGGAAGCAAAGGCCGGGGAGATCAGTTGCGGGTGCATATATATATAGATATATAATATATATACTATGTATCTATGTATCTATGTATCTATTGATCTATGTATCTATGTATGTATGTATGTCTGTATGTATGTATGTATGTATGTATGTATGTAATAGTATGTAATGGTATGTATGTAAAGGTAAAGGTAATGTATGTATGTATGTATGTAATGGTATGTAATGGTATGTATGTAAAGGTAAAGGTAATGTATGTATGTATGTATGTATGTAATTGTATGTATGTAATGGTATGTATGTAATGGTATGTATGTAATGGTATGTATGTAATGGTATGTATGTAATGGTATGTATGTAATGGTATGTATGTAATGGTAT